AGTATGGCTTTCGCCAGGGTCGGTCGGCTGGTGATCTTCTAGCGTATTTGACACATCGATGGGCAGAGACTATTTATTAAGAGTAAGGGGCCCTATCTGTAAGTCTGGATATTGCGAAGGCCTTTGATCGGGTTTGGCACAAAGCTCTTCTCTCAAAGCTACCATCCTTCGGGTTACCTGCGAAGTTATGCAAATGGGTCACCAGCTTTCTCGCTGATCGGAGCATCAAGATCGTTGTCGATGGTGCTTGCTCCGACCCACACTCTGTGAATGCTGGTGTTCCACAAGGCTGTGTGCTATCTCCGACTCTGTTCCTTCTGCATATCAATGACATGTTACAAGTCAACAACATTCATTGTATGCGGATGACAGCACTGGAGATGCCTTGTACAGCGGCCATGCTAATATGTCGCAGGCAAACGTTATAGAGTACCGGAACAAACTTGTGTCCGAAATCGAAACTTCACTCCATCAAGTTTCGGTTTGGGGTCAGGAAAATCGTGTTAAATTCTACCCCAAGAAGACACAAGTTTGCGTGTTTACCATTAAAGAATCCATTGTATCGTATCTCCTCAGTTTCAAGACACTCTCCTTGATGTGAAGCCAAATCTCGAGGTCCTTGGCGTTGATATATCCAGTGACGTTCAGTTTTGCGGTCATTTGGAGGACAAGGCTAAAATAGCCTCAAAGAAGCTTGGTGTGCTCAGTAGAGTGAGACGGTATTTCACGGCGGCCCATCGCTTGCAATTATACAAGGAGCAGATCCGGCCGCATATGGAATACTGTTCTCATCTCTGGGTGGGAGCACCACAATACCAGCTACTTCCATTTGACCGCATTCAGAACCGAGCAGCCAGAATCATTGGTAATCAACGTCTATGTGACAGACTCGACCCATTGGCTTTGCGGCGAGATATTGCATCTCTGTGCATTTTCTACCGTATATATCACGGGGAGTGTTCTGAGGAATTGTTCGGAATAATACCAGCTGCTGAGTTTCACCACCGTACCACCCGCCAGAAACTGAAATACCATCCTGATCGTCTGCGGATGAATGGCGGTCTTCCACAGTGCGGTTTTCTAGAAACTTTTTGCCTCGCACAACCACATTGTGGATTCACCTTCCAGTAATGGTATTTCCGAACCGATACGATATTGAAACCTTCAAGAAACGAGCTTATTCCTTTTTAAAAGGCCGACAACGTACTTGCAGTTCCCCTGGTGTTGCGAGTGCTCATGGGCGGCGGTAATCACTTACCATCAGGTGAGCCGCATGCTCGTTTCTCCCCTTTTATAAAAAAAAAAACCCCGATCAAGACACAGAACAATGAAGACCAGCATCGACGACCATCAACACCGACAGACATAATGGAACGAGCCATAAACAATTTAACTTTATTTTTCTAAAATAAAAGTAGCCAAAGTTACTCCTTATTACATCAGCTACTTGCCAGAAGAAGTCCCGTCAAAATCGGTCCAGCCATTTCAGAGATTAGTCGGAACAAACAGACCGACAGACAGACAAAAATTTTGAAAAGTGTTTTTTTTGTGTATGTACCATATGTATTTATATTCATATGCATGTAGTAAAAAACGGTTATTTCAATTTTATTTATATGTATAGATTTGCGTCGGCTCTGTCCTTGTATCTAAATCTGTACCGATCGACTATTTATTTCGCATCGGTCAGCATTTATTCCATGCATATTTAGTGGGTGAATCGGTCCGTCCGCCCCCACTGCTTTTGCTATTTTTTCATCCAATAGCGGAACTGTAGATCCCTCATCGAACAGTGCATATATGCTTTGTTTTCCTTTCGGGCCGATTACAGTGACTGGACATACTTTTAATTTGATGTCGGTACTCTTGTCAACTGTCGTTGTCGTAACCACTTCGTTGTCGATGTCTTCAGCGTTGTCACCGGTGTTTACACTGAGCCCTGTGTGTTGGTGCAGCAGCGGATGGTAGCGAAGCTTACACGTGCTGACGCCGCACGGTATTGCTTCGCAATTGTGACGTTTATTTTTACTAACGAGACATTTAAAACACAGACTGCCTTTTTTAACAATGTCCCTTCGTTGATCGATTGTTTTTGTTGTAAATTCAGGACAAACTGTTAACTTGTGTTGTCGTTTGCAGTCTGGGCACACAATCACGTGTCCCTTATTCTCATTTTCTACAGTTTCAACTGTAAAAACATGTCTCTTATTCCTAGGCGGTATCGCTGTCTGCCTATACATCGTCGGTAGTCGCAGTATTTCTTTTTTTATGTATGTAGGCGCCGAATATCCATATTTTATAGCCCTTCTCGCCTCTTGCATAAGATGGTTTGAAAGTTGAATTATTTCTGGATATAACAGTTCTGAGTCAAGTAAAAAAAGGTTATCTGTTCAACCCGATGCTGACCAGGGAAGTACTGGAGAAAATGAGTCCCCATCAACGATCTGTTATACCCGGTAACATAAGGAAATGCTCACAATCAACATTTCCAGTATTGCTGACTTCAGCAATACTGAGTACCGAGGCGAAGCATAGCATTGAGGCGTCAGTCTCATTCCAAATTTCATACAAGTCACTCCTCTGTACTATACTTTATAAATTTATTTTTAAATAAATTCCTTTTTTTAAAAAGGGATTTTTATTTCATCGAATAACATTTGGTGGCAGCGTAAAAGGGATCCAATAAGCGGATCTCCGGTTCATCTCCATCCATACAAAAACTTTGTTATTGTGTTGTGTTACTGTAAAAAAAAAAAAGCAGAAAAGTGTGCTTCCTTTTACTTTTCTCTCCTCTTAAAAGTGAGAGTGTTCAAAACTTTATAAAAAAAGTGAGAAGAAGAATACAAACTCTGCATCACTCCCAAATAGTGGAAAAAATAAAATAATAAAAATAAAAAATAATACATAATTGATAGTTATTACGCAACAATACATAACGCATAGTGCAACTGCGTGGGCTGCCAGACGTCGCGCCCGCCGATTCCGAGAACTTCGATCCACAAACACCCGTCTGCAATGCGTCTTATCTCTATATTAATTGCGCACTTAAGTACGTAAGTCCTTGGTCATACTTAAATACTAAAACATCTTCTTTTTTTAACATTGAATAATTTCCATATTAATTATTATTTAATAAATAAAAGTCAGTTCTTGCCATTTAAATAAATATATATATAAATAAATAATACCACTATATCTAATGTCAAAATCAGAAGCAAAATCCAAGTTAGTTACAATGGCAGAAATTGACTTGCAAATGTTGTTTAAATTCATAAGTGAATTCGATGGAAGTAGGGAAAAGTTGAATCCTTTCCTCAATAATTGTAGAAATGCTATTGAACTAGCATCACCACATCAAATAGATATTCTTTTTAAATATATAATTAGCAAACTTGAAGGTCGGGCACAGATTGCTTGTTCAATCAAAGAATTTACAGACTGGGAACAACTTGAGGAATTTTTAAAAAACCAATTTGGTGAAAAGAACTATTACATTCATTTATTATGTGACCTTCAAGCGTGCAAACAAAATTACAATGAAGTCGTTAATCAGTTTGCTCTAAGAGTAGAAACCTGTTTAGCTAAATTACTCACGAAAATAAACATTTCTATTCCTACTAAAAAGAAACTAGAACTCTCTGGTCGAGTCGCTGCAATGCAGGATTTGGCCCTTCATACATTTATCACAGGACTCAACCCGAAATTGTCTACTATAGTCAGGTGTCGAGATCCCGACACCCTTAACAGTGCTATTAACTTTGCTGTAGCCGAAGAAAAGATTCTACAAACGTATAAGCCACAACCGTCTTCATCTCATACAGGCCAATATGAACGACCTCGTCAAAATTCTAACGTCAGATATGATGGTAATCGACAGACGTCTTCAAAGTCCTCGAATGTTAATTTTACTCCGGGCAACCCAATAATATGTCGTTATTGTAAATTTTTGGGCCATTCGTTAGAAAATTGTAAAAGGAGAGAATATGATAATAAATACCGAAATAACTTTACTGCTAATCAACCTACTACATACACACAAAATCTTGTTCAGCGTGTTAATTATGTGGAGGACATTCAGTCCGAAGCTGAACCCAATTGTCTTGAGGGTAGTAATTTAAACGAGTAAGCATCTCGTCAAGGCGTCGTGCGAGATTAAGTAATACAAAAATCGACCCTATTATTATCACCGCTGTATCTACTGAATCCATTGAATCCACTGAATCCGCTGTATCCACTGAATCCGCTGTATCCACTAAATCCGCTGTATCCACTGAATCCGCTATATCCACTGAATCCGCTGTATCCACTGAATCCGCTATATCCACAGAATCCGCTATATTCACATATTCCGCTGTATCTACAAAATTCTCTGTATCCACAGAATCCGCCGTATCCACTGTAACTACTCAACCTGCTATATCCACTGTATCTATTCAACCTGCTGTATCCACTGAAACCATTAAAATTACGCAAACTCTGAAACCCATGGAAGTTTTCGAAATCGCAAATGATTACTCAAACAAATACTTACCATATGTCTCTGTTTTCACATAAGTCTCCGAATTCCCACAAGCTCTTCTCGTAGATTCAGGATCATCGATTAGTTTAATCAGACAATATAGCATCTCAAAAAATCAAAAACTTACAAAGGAATTTGTCACTATAAAAGGAATTGATCCCGACTGTGAATCCACTAAAACCATAGGCCATTTTTATTTAAATATTAAACCATTAGATCCGTTTCCGGTAATCGAACTGTCAACACTATAGTGATAAACTCCAAGTGAAAACTAACGAATAAAAATAATTAACTGTGATCTTGAGATATAACTTCGCTACATAACACTAGTAAAACCTCTGTGAAGTGTTTAAACATAATCAGTTTTACAAGATTGCTGAAGATTGATTATAAATACAAAGCGGAATATTTACGAGGTACGAACACATACCCACATTATTACGTTACGTTATTACGTTAAATATCGTTGAATCCATCAACGATATTTAACGTCAAGAGAACTGGCATTTGTGACATCTGACATTAGCAGTACAGTCAGTCAGTGTTGACAACAACGAGAATTTCTGCCTTTGCTAACACTACGTTCCAATATACGCAAACATACAATGGAAGGTCAGTTTCAAATATTATTCGACAAAATGAAAATTGAGATGCAAAATCAAACAGCTGAATTAAAGGATTCATTAACAAAAAGTATTATGGATAAAATAGAAGAGAAATTAATTCCTTTAGTTGAAGAAAATAAAAATCTAAAAATAAAAGTAGAAAAATTAGAAAAAGAAATAGAATCCCTGAAAAGAGGGGAGAAAAATAATAATATTATAGTATTTGGCGTAGAAGAAAAAGAATCGTCAACGTCTGAATTACTACAAGAAATAAAGAAGAACCTGAAACATGATCTAAATATTAGTATAGAAGACTACGAAATCAACAAAATCTATCGTTTAGGAACTAAGATTAGAGAAAGCAATAAGCCGAGGCCCGTACTATGTTCATTTATAAACAACTGGAGAAAGATCGAAATTATTAAAAATAAAAGAAACTTGAAGACTATTAATATTAGTGAAGATTACTCAAAAGAAGTTTTAGAAAAAAGAAAAATGTTACAAGCGGAACTAGCTGAAGAGAGAAAAAAAGGCAATATAGCATTTCTGAAATATGACCAACTAATAGTAAAAAAGAACATCAACAACCAAGATAAAAGGAAGAGGGAATCTTCTACTTCACCTTCCGTTTACAACAGCCACTCCAAAAAACAACAGATTGTTTCCTCAGTTAAGTCGAACAGAACAAATGCCTTTGATATGTTGCGGTCTAGATCCAACTCCCTTACTAACGTATCTACCACCAAAAAACAATAACAATTAATAATCGGCAAACGGAAACCAAATCTAATCGAAGAAACTAACAAAGAAATAAGAACACACCAATCTCCCCCAAGCCGACTGGTCCTCGTGGGGGAAAGAGACCACAACCCTCCAATAACAAAAAAAACAATAATCAATAACAACAATAACAGTAAAGAAAGTCGTAAAAATAAAATATACATAGCAGCCCTCAATGTACTCACGCTAAAAAATGAAGAAAATATTACAGAACTAATGTATGCGCTAAAAGACATCAAATGGGACATTGTTGGTCTCAGTGAAGTGAGAAGAGTCGGTGAAAATATCATATCTTATCCAGACTACCTATTTTGTCATAAAGGCGAGACCCCAGGCCTTCATGGGGTTGGATTCATTGTTAAAAATAGTTTAATTAATTACGTGGAAGAATTTATAGGTATTTCGGAACGTATTGCAATATTGAATCTGAAATTACCTGAATATAAGAACCCCTGGTCTATTGTACAAATATACTCTCCAACTGAACAATCTGATCAAGAAACTATAAATAAATTCTACTTTAATCTAAACAATGCTATCCAGGAACACGGTTATAAAAACCTTATAATAATGGGAGACTGCAATGGTCAAATAGGACAGAGACGTCCAGGAGAAGAAAAAGTACTAGGATCATACACATATAGTAGTAAAACAAGAAGTAGAAGTGGAGAACAGATCATGAACTTTGCCCTAGAAAATAACCTAACCATCTTAAACACTATATTCATGAAAAATAAGAAAAATATGTGGACTTGGATCTCACCGGACAGTAAAACAAAAAATCAAATCGATTTCATAATGACTAATAAAAATAGTTATTTCTCAAATTTTTCCGTAATCAACAAATTGAACTTTAACACCAATCACAGACTAATTAGAACAGAACTGGTATTAAACGAACCAAAAAAGTCTAGACCAAGATGTGGAATAGCAAAAGTAACGATCGGAAACCATCAGACTGAACAAATAACAATTGCTCTAAGGGACAAATTCAGTGACTTTCAATCTGAAACAAAGGATTTAGGCACGCAAGACAAATACAACTGGTTAGAAAATATAATGAAAACCCAAATACAAAAAATCGCAAATATAAAAAATGAACCAAGAAAATGGCTATCAACAAATACCATACAATTACTAGAAGAGAGAAACCACTTAATCAGCGCTCGAGGCATAAATGACAGAAGAAAATATCTAACGAAGATTAGTAAAGAAATAAAAAATAGCATAAGAAAGGACAGGAAACAAAGAAAAATGGAAATTCTAGAAAGGTATATATGGAAAACAGGCGGAGCCAAAAAAGCATACAAAGACTTGAAAAACTCAATGGACTGGATAGTTAAAATGAAAAACTATGATGGAAAATGGAACCACCGCAGAGCAGACATTCTGGAAATAGCCACATCTTATTACAAGAAACTGTACAAAGGGGACATCACGGAAGGTGGAATCGATCTGGTCGGTACCACAAGCGTTCCTAGTATTCTTAGAGCAGAAGTCGAAAAGGCTATAGTTACCCAGAGATTAGATAAAACACCGGGCCCCGATGGCATAAGTAACGAATTCCTAAAATATGACAAGGAAATCTTAATACCAGCCCTCACTGATATGATGAGTTTAACACTATATTAGAAACTGAAATAATACCTCAGCAATGGACAGAATCTAACATTATCCTGTTATATAAGAAAGGAGATAAATTCGAAATAGGAAACTATCGCCCTATCAGCCTTATGTCAAACATTTACAAAATCTTCGCCAAGGTCATTTTAAAACGACTTGAAAGAACGCTAGACGAACATCAACCGATAGAACAGGCTGGATTTCGTAAGGGTTACTCTGTCATTGATCATATCCATGTAGTTCGTCAAATTTTAGAGAAGTACAAAGAATATCAACTTACATACTATATTGCATTTGTCGACTACAGCAAAGCATTTGACTCTCTGCTATACAAAAATATATGGGAAACATTAGCGGAACAAGGGGTTGAGCACAAATACATCAGATTAATAAAGAATGTATATATTCATAGTACAGCTAGGATCCAGCTAGACAAGAAAGGTCATTCATTTAATGTTGGCAAGGCGTTAGACAAGGAGACCCCCTATCTCCAAAAATATTTTCAGCTGTTTTGGAATCAGTTTTCAGACAAATCAAATGGAAAAATTTTGGTATCATGGTAAACGGCGAATCTTTAACACATCTGAGATTCGCTGATGACATAGTACTATTCGCTGAAACATCTAAAGAGATTAATGCTATGATCGCAGATCTTGCCATAGAAAGTAAGAAAGTAGGCTTAACACTGAACCCAGAAAAAACTAGAGTGATGACAAATGGAACTAAAGACACGATACTCTTAGGTAACTCTGAAATAAATTATACTGATGAATACATCTATTTAGGACAGCTTATAACTCAAGAACAACCGATGCATGAAGAAGTAAAGAGAAGAATTACTAACAGCTGGAGTAAATATTGGAGCATGAGAGAGGTTATGAAAGATAAAAAACTTCATATTAGTATTAAAACCAAACTATTTAACACCTGCATTTTACCCGTCCTTATGTATGGATGCCAATCGTGGACTTTAAGTCATGAAATGACAAGTAAACTCGCAAGTTGTCAACACGCTATGGAAAGGAGTATGCTGAATGTCAAGAGATCAGACAGACTGAAAAACTACATCATCCGGAATAAAACAAAAGTTACAGATATAAATTTGAAAATTAAAAGACTCAAATGGAGATGGGCAGGTCACATAATAAGAGGAGATGATAAATGGAGTAAGAAAGTGACAAGATGGTATCCCAGGGAAGGAAAAAGGAAAAGAGGCAGACCCCACACAAGATGGGATGATGATATTAGGACAGTGGCAGGAGTAATGTGGAACAGGGTGGCACAAGAAAGAGAAGAATGGAAACGATTGGAGGAGGCCTTTGCCGATTGGCAAACAGATCTACAGACATTAAAAAAGATCCAAATAATAGAATAACTATTTTCGTTTTAAGTTTTAAAGCTTTGTTTTTTTGTTTTAAAATAATGTATAAGTTGAATCTGAATAAAGGCTATAATAATAATAATAAATAATAATAAACCATTAGATGCAAACCAACGTAAACAAAATATAGCTCATCAATTCCATGTAGTAGAGAACATTAACTCACCGTATGATGGCATCATTGGTAATGATCTATTAACTAAATTATCTTGTAATATCGATTACTCTCGTGATACCCTAAAAATTAATAACTCTGAAATCAAATTATATTTCAATGAACCAACTTACCTCATACCGACACGAACAGAAACAATAATCGAATGCTCCGTTTTAAACCCTAATAATCTAAAAGAAGGAATTGTGCTAGATCCTTCAGAGGACATTCTAATTGCAAATTGCATTGTTCGTGTTAAGAATAATAAAAGAAAAGAGAAAGAGAAAGAAAGATCTATCCGTCATCAACACTTCTGAAAATCCGATAAATCTGAAATCAAATCTTAACCTAAAACTTATACCCACTGAAACTCATATCAATCAAAAACAAGTTTATAATAACACTTATTCTTTACAAAAGAAAAACTCTATAGAAATAACTCAAGAAGTACTGAACCAATTAAGAACTGACCATCTCAATAGTGAAGAGAAATCCGCTCTTTTACAAATATGTGCAAACTATTCAGACATATTTCATCTTCGTGGAGAAAATTTATCGTATACTATAGCTCTAGAACATAAGATTAAAACAACCACTGATATTCCTATTCATACAAAATCCTATAGATTTCCCGAAATTCATAAAGCAGAAGTTAACAAACAAGTAGACGAAATGTTATCTCAAGGTATTATCGAACCGTCCACATCCCCTTGGTCCTCACCAATTGGGGTAGTACCCAAAAAGCAAGACGCCTCAGGTGAACAAAAATGGCGCGTAGTTATTGATTATCGGAAACTAAATGATGTTACAATTGGAGATACCTATCCCATTCCGCAGATAACCGAAATACTCGATCAGCTAGGCAATAGCAAATACTTCTCCACACTAGATCTATCTTCTGGATTTCACCAAATCAAGGTTAATAAAGATGATGGAGATAAAACAGCTTTTAATATTCCAACCGGACACTTCCAGTTCACTCGCATGCCTTTCGGGCTAAAAAATGCACCATCCACCTTTCAACGGCTTATGAATACCGTACTATCTGGCCTCCAAGGTCTCCGCTGTTTTGTTTACCTTGATGATATTGTCACGTACTCACATGACCTTGATTCACACATTCAAAATTTAACCGCTGTTTTCCAAAAACTGAGAGATTACAACTTGAAGCTCCAACCTGATAAGTGTGAATTCCTTCGACATGAAGTCGCCTATCTGGGTCATATTATTACCGAAGAAGGTGTCAAACCTAATCTAGAAAAAATCAAATCTGTCCTCGAATTCCCTTTGCCTTATTCTCCAAAAGATATTAAATCATTTCTGGGTTTGGTATCTTACTATCGCCGATTCATACCCGATTTCTCAAAAACAGCGAAACCACTGACGTCTTTACTAGGACATTTAAATCTTAGCCCTCGAAGCGAAGACCATAACCTAGATTTTGAAAATTTACAAGTTCCCTCTGATTCCAATACAAATTCATCACCCAAATCACCCACTAATTTATCCGTACCTAACGGTAATGATGATTATACTAAATTCCTTAAATCTTTCGCAGAAAAGAATAATGTTTATGATACTAACCTCGTAGAACACAATAGTAACTTAATGAAGTGCTCTTCCGGAGTTATTCTAATCCCTACCTCAATTGATTTAGATGAGTCCAACTCGTATATTCCAAATATTTTAGATAATTTAGAAGACCAAGAAGAATTGTTACAATCCGAGAAAGAACTTCATGCATTTAAAAAGGTAGAATTAAATAATAAAATTTATTATCTTTTATTCACTAAAGTACATTACTTTGATGAATGTACATACATTGATATCTTTAAAACACTGAAATCTGTAAAAAATAATCTACTATTATCAGCACATATTATAGATATAGCAATTTCCGATTTTAAAAATCCCTATGAGAAACACTTATTTACGAAAATATATAATATGATGACCTATCTTTTCGATAAAACCAATATATCCGTACATGTGTACCATAACAATATCATGTATCCGTCACTGTCCGAAATTAAGAAAATACTATTAGAAAATCACGATTTACCTATTGTCGGTCATCTAGGCTCCACACGAATGCTAAAACGAATATCTGAGAAATATTATTGGAAAGGAATGCGGAGCGACATCGAAAGCTATGTTCGACAATGTGTTAAATGTCAAGAAAATAAAGCCTTAAGAAAAGTTCACAGAGCTCCAATGCAAATAACAAGTATATCCACTGCTCCATTTCAACGTTTATCCCTCGACATAGTCGGTCCCTTTTTTTTTTTTTTTTTTTTTTTTTTTAACGTGTGGAAAAATCTTCAAAAGACCGTCACCCCGCCGGAGGGATGGCGAGGTGGTGTGTGG